TATGTATTTCTACCAGTTTTTGTCTGATTATTGTCAAATTTCCAGCAACATTAAAATACTTAAATGCAAAATCTCAAAGCTTTCATATCCAAAACTGGGTAAATTAACATAAAAATGACGTTCACAAGCCTTCCTTATTAAAATAAAAATATTAAAGTTTTGTTATTACATATGTTTTAGATCATTAACAAGACCAAAAGGTAGTTATTACAAGTTATACATCAAATAAAAAACAGTTCCATTCTGCTGTTTGATTCCAATGTTTATTTCTCTGGAAAACAGAGGTAGGTAGGGAGAATTTGGAATTCGTTTACTTTACTAACAAAATTTTATTAAAGAGCTTCCCTTACTCTCTGCAAACTTTTTTAGGTCTCGTTGGCAACAGATGGCTAGTTAGTCCCTCAAAACAGTCAATGGTCTCACTCTCGGTCCACTGCTACAGCTCTAATATATGCAGCAATGATTTAGTTGAATATAGTAAATTATAAATTTCTCTTTCAGTTTATATGAAAGAAAATTCTTCAGCATATAAAAAAGGTTCTAAATAGACAACAGAGAGTAATTAACACTGTTAAATTTTGTGGGTTTTATAGTATTTATATATTAATAGAAACTTCAGAAATTATACTGTGATAAAAAGTAATTACATTATATTAAACTAATGTCCTGATGTACTCCAGAGATTCAACAACACATCAATAAAAGATATCTATTTGAAGAATAATGTGGATTTTTAAAGTTGAAGAATTTTTATCCAATGTCTCTTCTTAATGATTTGTGTAAAATAACTTTTCCTTCTCCAGAAATAATTTCTCCTAACCTGTACTTTAATCCCCAAACCAATAATAGGAACCAAGTAAGTACAAGATTATTTAAGTCATCTTCTGAAATGAACAGCAAATCACAGAACTACAATGGTCAATTTATTGTAAAAATACATAAACGTAAAATAAATTTCAAATTCTTTCAGATATTCAGGAGAAAAATCCCCTAGAAATACGAGATGAAAAAAGTGTCATGGGCAAGAAGAGTGCTGAACATACATTTAGTACAGCTTTCTATTGGACATTTCCACATAGATGTGTCTACAGGCTCCTCAAACCTAACTCTAACTAAACAAAACTGCTCTTCCTCCATTCTCCCGACTCAGACCCCAAACCTGATCCTCTTTACTCGATCCTCTTACTGAGTCTGGCCTCACCAACGATTCAAGGAAGAAACCCGAGTGTCCTTGAGAGCTCCTTTCTC